AAGAGTTAACCCAGGATTAGCACTAATCGGGCTTACCCCCCCCCCCCCCCCCCAATTTTTTTGGTATGCCAGGGCCGGGTTGTTCAAAGCTGGATTAGCGCTTATCCAGGATTAACTCTACAGGTCTTATTAAGAGTTACCCCAGGATTAGCACTAATAGGTCTTTGAACAACTGGGCCCAGTCTGTTATAATTTTCAATCTTAGCCCATATCTTTTCCCATGCTACTGTCATCTCTTACATTTTTCAATTTTAACCAATCTTCCCCCCTCACACCATCACTTTTAAGGGTGCTCAGTGATCCTCTTGCACCTCAAAGGTTGCTTTACAGCTATACGGCGACTAATTGAATAAATATTGTTGGGGACTGACCAGCAGGTCATTTCATGCTCAAACATAAATAAAACCGTTTTTAAATGTACTACTGTATATGAGAGGCTTGTCATTTCAGAACAATAGTTATTCAAATTCGTCACCATATTTCCACCAGGTATCAACTACTATCATAATGAGTTACATCTTACAGTTTCTGTAAAGTCTAGTACTTACCTTTATTCTCCAGTACCGGGCTGTTTTGTCATACACTCCTACTGTTCCATTAGCAAGTGCATAGCCGAACTTGGTTTCTCTTACTGGACACAATGATGTAACAGCCTGAGTGTGGGGAAAAAAAGAAAGAATTCTTTTCTGTAAAGATTAGTTAATTTTTATAACCATCAATACACAGAGTATCAAATAACTTCTCTTTATAATTCCTCCTATAACTATTATTATTTACAGATATTACAATTTTTCCTATATTTTTTTATGCATACATAATATGATTTCTTATATTCATATAAAGAACATCAAAGGAAAAAAAGAGAAGGAAAAGATATAATAATCATAAAGAAAAAAGAATTAGATAATAAAATCCTGAAGATGAAAATAAATAGTAATGTTTAATGTAAAACATGTCGTAAAATATAGTGAGAAAACTGAGTAGAGTCTGAGTACGTAGAGTCTCAGATCACAGCCAAAACAAATCTTACTTTATGCAGACCCATAATTATGAAAACCGTCCAACATGTCAAATGTCAAGTCCAAACAGATCATACATGGGAATGCATTACAAAGTATTGTCTGAATGGTCAGCTGATTGAGTACCAAGATTCCTACCTCTGTTTCTGTCATTTCTGCAATAATTTCATCCTCTTTGAACACTCTGATATCAAAGTCTTCAGATCCAACAAGCAGCTAGAAAATTAAATGAAATCATTGGTACAATAATAAATTAGACTACAGCAAATATGCACACCTTGCCTTATCCTCCACAAGGAGCGAAGAGGATGAAGAAATTAAGTACTGTAAGCACACATATGTACATTGTATCTATTTATTTATTTATTTCATTCAATATCTTAACAGGAACATCTAATTTAGCACAGGCTAGTTTAAATAGAGTCCGGTATAAAATMAATATAATTACAAAGTAAATAAACACTATATGAATTACAAGTTACATTACTACAATAAAGTTAGTACATTTTGTTCAACTATTATCTGTCATTGTCAACCCTCAGGATAAGCAGATGCTCATATTACATATTATGACTGTATCAGAAATTGTACAAGCTCTATTTTCGTTAATCCTGGGAACCATATATCTTGCCCAATGGGGTCCAGGAAGTATGGGCTATATTGTATTGCAGATATAATATTTTTATAGTCTGTTGGGCTCTACTGCTCAGTCTAATTTTAGCTAGTACACATCAAAGACATACCTCATCTTGACCATCTGAATTAAAATCACATAGAGCCAAAGAACATACATTATCACCAGTTACCTAGTAAAACGAAATTGTGGACCATAACTTACATGCATGTAACAGTTGTACGGAGAGTGGATAGCGTTATCAGATGGATAAATCCCTATCCATTTGGATAAGTTGATGCTGTTATCCATTAAATTTATCCACTGCATGAATATTATTTATCCACCAGTTAGCACTTTTCACTCTTTGTACAAACTCAGAGATCTATACTTTAAAAATACCACTCTACGTAACCAATAACTAAACTACTCTCTGAGACTAAGACTACAAGACTTCATAATGCTAAGTTGGATGATGTGTAAAGAGGGAGGATGGAACTGCCATAAATATCAAATGTGACCTGGTGTTTTTTGAACACAATAACTATTACTGTCACATATCAATATTATGTGTAGAGTTTGTTAGGTCTCCTCCTTAACGATTTAAGTGTTTTTCACCAGGATCTCTGCCCCCCTTTATTTCATGCTAAATGCTAACCTCAATCTGTGAGTTAGCTGTGCCCTGGCTTTAGTCAACCTAGAGGCTGTCTCAGCTTTGGTTGATCTGTGAAATAGTCATGCCCTGACATTGATCAACCTAAAAGTTGTTTCAGGGTTCATCTGTGAGTTAGCTCAGTGCCCTGACTAGCTAAGATCAGCCCAGAGGCTGCTTTAGAATTCTATAAAACTGAGATTTTGAAGTGGTTCAGCGCTGGTAGCTAGCTATCTAGCTTGTATCATGTACAGTATATATTAGACTTACCGTCCAGAACTCATCATTGCCATCCACATCAAATCCCTGAATAGAACAGTTACCTCCAACCAGAGCAAGTGGGTTTTCAAAGCCTCCTATCTTCCCAACCAGGATTGCATTAACACCATCAGCAACCTAAGATATTCATTGCCAATTATTGTATGTTATATTATTATACAATCAAGACATTTTTAAAAGAAATATTATCTTTGAACTTTTCATTGCCAACCCAGGTTGAACATCTTGCTAAGATCTTGTTAAGATCTTATAAGAATCTTGCAAGATCTTAAATAGGATCTTACAAGATCTTGTCCAAGATCATGCCAAGATAATGAATAAACTTGCCAAGTTCATGCATAAACTTGCCAAGATCATGTAAGATCAGGCTTGATCTTACATGATCTTATCCAAGATCATGCAAGATCAGGCCTGATCTTACATGATCTTGGCAAGTTTATGCATGAACTTGGCAAGTTTATTCATTATCTTGGCATGATCTTTCATGCTTTTGATAAGATCTTACATGATCTTGGCAATATCTTACATGATCTTTCATAGTCCTAGTAAGATCTGTCATGATCATGGCAAGATCTTACAGGAAGTTGGACAAGATCTTTCATTGTTATGGCAAGATCTTATTTAGTCATGGCAAGATCTTATAAGTTCTTGGACAAGATCTTTTATGGCCATGGCAAGATCTTACAGGATCTTGA